CAGCTCAAGTATTTTTCCTATTTTTTCTGTGCATTCTAGCTAACAGATATAGCTAAAGTGAAAAATCTAAAATGACCAAATGCCTGAGTGATCTTAAAGTTGAACAAAATATGCATTGGATGCAAATTTTGGAGATGTGCTAAGATTTGTCTTCCCATTCTCATTAGTTACTAGCCTGTACTCTGTGGCTCTTAGCTGAAAAATTAAAATGTGCCTTTCAGATCTGCTCATCTGTGTGACCATTATCATGCTGATGGTAATTTGGGAAAACTCTCTTTCTCTTGTACCTAGTGCCTCTTATGGATTGGAAAGGGGATGATTTTAAAGGTGAAGCTCCCCAGTTCTGATTACATCTGACTTATTCTCTGCTTCAGAGCAAGGACCTCTCTCTCAATCTCATAGGGGAGGTCAGCATTGACTTGATCCTCCAGATACTTCTCAATCTCTTCCACCTCCTTCTCCCAGAACTCCTTGGAGATGCTGAAGAGCTCCTTCACATTGATGTTCCCCAGGCCTTTCAGATTCAGGGCATCCTCCTTTGGGATGTAGCCTATGGGCGTGAGCTTGGCGCTGTCTTCCCCGTTGATCCGATTGAACATCCACTCCAGCACCCTGGAGTTCTCTCCAAAGCCTGGCCAGAGATAATAGCCTTCCTTGTCCTTCCGGAACCAGTTGACATGGAAGATCTTGGGCAGCTTGGCTGCTGGCCGCTGGGCCATGCTCAGCCAGTGGGCCAGATATTTGCCAAAGTTGTAGCCAAAGAAGGGCCGCATGGCAAAGGGGTCGTGCATGATGATTTTGCCTAGTAAACAGAGGGGGAATCTGTCAGTAAGTGATGCTCTCATGGGCAATATTGGCCACCATTTACTGATGACATACACATGGCTCTCTCTCTCTCCACATACAGACAGAGAGACAGACAGAGCTCTAAGCACCCTTCTTGGCAGTTTCAGATCTTGCCTTTGATTACCTTTGTGTTCCGCAGCTGCTGTGGCCTCCGACCTCATGGCCGCCCCCACAAACACTCCGTGCTGCCAGCTGAGAGCTTCGTAGACTAGGGGGACACCTTTAGCAGGAAGAAAGAAAACTTCCTTAAAGGCATTGACAGTAAGACTCTACAGCCAGTGATGTCATTTTACAACATGGAAAGACATGGCAAAATAGCATCTTTTAAATTGAGCTAGGTTTGTGTTCACAAAGCTAGAGTGTAAAAAGCTGCTAAGTCAAAGTTATACCACTGAGGCCACAAAGGAAAAAGTAGAATCAGACCAAGCTATAGCAGATCAAGGGTCCACAAAGTTCTTAGGTGACCAGAGAGTTGGTTTTACATTTGAGCTTGCTAATTATTCTGGATTTTGGGAAAGGAAGCTCATGATCTTTGGCACCCTCTGACTAGGTCATGAAAAAAGAGATTTCAC